CCATCACACAGAAACACGCTGAATGCTATTCCATGTTGTGTGAATGCTTTGGCTTTGACCTGATCCAATTATGGAGGGAGTTGAAAAAAGGGACGTAATTCTGCCCTGAGGGTTTTCTGAGGACTGACCTTTGTCCTCCATTCTCCTTCCACTGCTTCATCCTTTCCAGGGCTGGGAACTTCAGCAGTTTCAGTTTTCAGACCGTTGTCCTTTTCAGCACCATGGACAGAGACGACAACCGTCTGCAATGACAGAAAGGTTTGGTTGGAGATTTCTGCTGATTCAACAACCAGGAACACAAATGTTGAGCCAAAGCCAAGTCACAGTTAACGTCTGAAGTGCTTCACGACGTTCCTTTTCTAATGGAACGTCACATTGATATTCCGTTGGATTACCGTTGACTGCACTTCATCCATGTCAGTCGCTCCGTAACTAAACTCTCTGTGTTCTTGTTTCTTTTCGGTCTGATTTCCAGCCAACTGCTTCGTGCTCTCTCTCAGGGTCTGCCTGGTAGAAACAGCCTGGAATGTGGGCAAAGAAAGAACAAGGGTTAACATCAAAGGCAGTTCAGTGCTGAAACCACACCAGTCCTGACGCCCATCAAAGTGACCACCCTTTTATTTTCTAAGAATTCCTGCAGTATTTCATGAATACCAATGAGTCATTACTCAGAGCCATTTAATCTGAGATAACCAGTTACACACGCGTCTGTAATTTGATCATTAAAGTCTGTTCACTTTGATATGCCTGTATAAAGGCAGCGGTGATTGCCAATAACCTCACCTCTGTGCACTGGTCAAACAACCCTGAGGCAAACAGATCACATCTACCAGATTAGATCAAGACGTTATAGAAAAGACCTTGGAATTAGCTTTTATAATTAAATGTATTATAGATATTTTCTTCAGCACCATGGACAGAGACCACCACAGTCTGCATTTAAAGCAACAATAGAAGTTAATATTGGTCACATGGTTCATATTTCTGACCTTCATGATAATGCAGAGGCTTTCTTCAACCACTTTGCCTCCCCCGTGTCTCCCCCCTTCTCCCTCTGTGCTGCAGCTGCTGTGCTGATGGGTTCACCCCAGTACAGACCACCTCTACCGTCCGTTCATCCTCACTGTCCCATTTCTCCAAAATCTTTCCTTCCGTTCATCTCCTCACAAACATCTTCATATCTTCTCTCTTTACTTCTGCTTTTCTTCATTAATACTAAATAAAAATGTTGATTTTCCCAGTCAGTGCGTTGGTGTTGGAGGTAAAGAAAACTCCGTAGACTGAGTGACAAACACACACACACACACACGTAGATTCAAACAAAAGTGGTTCAGCCAAAGGACAGTCAAGTTGTGAATGAAGACAGAGAATGATGAAAAACGAGGGGGAGGACGGGTGAGGGGGGAGGACGGGTGAGGGGGGACTCAACTAAAATCAAGTGTTTCCTGTGTCTCAGCTGTATTTACCGCTGGTTTTCAACTCAGGATGTCCTTGAATCATAACAACAGTAGAAAGAAGTGAAGACAAAGGACGTTCAGACATTGTCTCTCTAGGACAGTCTCACAGGGACGGCTGGTCAAAGAAGACGTATCAGAGACAGAACCACTGAAATAAATCACGTTTTTAATCAGTTACTCCAGGTGTGTTGTAGAGTTACAGACTGATCTCAGCCTGACGTTGGTCACAAACACTTTCTTTAGTGTTTAATGTTATCGAGTGTAAAACCGCAGTGAAAACTCTACAGCATGAAGGAGAGAAATATGAATTCTTTACTGGCCCTGAGGGACATGTGCAGTTGTTGGAGTGAACTTCAGCTTATACATCACTGAAGTAAAGTTTCTGTCTAAAACTTCAGGTTTACAGACGAAAGTTTGTGTTGAAACCTGTGACAGGACGCTGTGATTAACTTCATGTACTCTGAAAATGTTAGCATTGAACATGAGCTGTAGCCTAGCTCCGGAGATACCAGTTAGCATTAGCTTCTATGTAGCCGGACCCCCCACCCCCACCCCACCCCCTCTTCAAACCCACAGAACATTCTACAAACTATGTGAAGTAACATCAACCTTTAAAAAAGATTTCCTTACTTTCTTTCATTATTCAATCATTATATCAAATAATAACGTGTGTTTGGCGTAAGTTTGAAATAATCAACAAACAGTTTACGGCAGCGTTCTGTATATTCACACTGAATAACGAACTTTTCAACAAACTGCTGACAGACAGGAACAAAACAAAACGAATCAAACCTCTTTCGTGTCTGTTGTTCAGCTTTTCTTCGGTACATTTCTGGTCCAAATCCGGTCCATTCTGCGCTGGCTTCGTAGCTACCTGCTAGCTCGAGGAGCTACCTGCTAGCTCGAGGAGCTACCTGCTAGCTCGAGGAGCAGCGCAGCTTCACTGCAGGTTCAAACCAGGTTCAACACAAATGAAGACGTCACTTGTACCACAGGTGCGTTCAGGTACCAACTCGACAATCCGACCATTTCTACAGTTTACTTGATGCATGTTTCAGGACAAACGGTCATAAAATAAATAAATACATTTGTAAAAAATGAAACATAATTAAATTATTTAAAACTTTTTTTTAATTTTAGCCCCCCCTAGTGTACTCTGGTGGCCCCCACACAGAGAGACAGATTCAGCACACATGTACTGTATAGTTCCCGTCACGGCACAGACCTGGAGAAGCAGGATCTCCAGGGGGCGCCATTCTCCTCTCCTCACGCTGACCTCCTCTCATGGGGACGAACACGGCCCACAGTGAAGGTGAACTGTGTAAAGGAAGAGAATCCAAAAACAAAGAGTTGTCAAACACCTGACAGGAGTTCTAATTCACACCTGGGTCCAAGAAAGAACTAAAGGTTTTCAAAAGGGGGTTCGCAGACTCTGAGAGGTACGGAGAGTTACCACAGTTAGGCCGTGATATGAATCGAGTTTAGAATGAAAACATGAAACATGGACCTGACTATGACTTGACTAGCAGATACTAGCTTAGCAGTGATGCAAAATAACATTGGTTTTTACATGATGGTGGACCTGGTATATGACAGTTCACCGTCAGTGTAGCCAAAATAATAAATAAATAATTGAATCCTGTGTTTTTATTATTAAATATGGTCCATATCAATGCATTTATTCACATTGAATTCCTGCCATAATCTTAATGATCTTCTTTAAAATCAATCAAACATTAACGTTGTCACAGTTGGTTACCTCCACACACTGAACCTATGGATATATGAGAGGAGGAACCAGCGCTGCGTGGATACATCACATATAAGCTACTGTCAAAATCAGATTAATTGCTATGATGAGCTGTGCAGCCGGTAACCATGGTGATTAGCAGCCAAATCCACCTGCGTTGATTACCTTTTCAGGGATGTGGGGATACAAATAGCAGCAGTTAATCTTGTTTAGGACACACAAATGTATTGTGACAGCTCAGCTGCTTCACCACTGCACAGCGTTCTGCTGGAAATTGAACGGACTGATTGGAAAAGAGAGAAAAGAGAGAGAAAGTACCAGAAACTTAGGGAAAATGTACGGAATAGTTTTGGGCCCAGTTTGGTCTGGGCCTCATTTTCTACTCCACCTTTTAGAACATTTACTGGCTGCAGCTGTGGTGGAGATTTCTCAGGGTGAAATGTCGTCTCACCATTTTTCATAATTAGCTAATAAACATGCAGCGACAAAGTGAAGCCATTACAGCTGCCCAGCCAGGAGCACACACACATTCACACACAAGTAACAGATGGGCCCACCTTTTCTCAGTCCAACAAACACACACACACACGTGTACATGTTAATGTGCTGAAGAACGGCATCAATGTTTAAAGCGGTGCAGGAACGTCACCGCCCGGGGGTATTTAATAGTTGCACAGGTAATAACGTAAACAAACAACACCCTGGAATGAATGTACACCCGATGACTTATGCCTGTAATGACAACGTACGTAGGTCGGCGACGGTTGTTCATCTCAGAGCGGGAATCTCTCCCTGCGGGAAACTCACTCTGTTTGGAAAACAGTGTGAATTGGATTAAAGAGGAAACGATTGGCTGCTGAAGTGGACACTTCATCACAGACGCTGCAGAGAAAGGAGAACCACACTGAGCTGAGGGAGGCCGGGGGGGGGCCGGGGGGGCCGGAGGCTGTGATGTGTCGGCACGGACGGCGCCGTACGTCGCGCGCGG